ATACTTCTTTAGATACACAAAAGGCTAGGTATATCATCTGGCTTTCTTTGAAAAATCTAACTGATAGTTTTAGGCTTAGCTCATCCATCCAAGGAGAGCGTGTCCTGATGTTAGGAGTACTTGCAGTTGATGATATTCACGTCTTCTTCTTCGCCAATTTGCAAAATGGCCTTTTGAATCATGCGCTTCAGTTTCTTTCGTGATTCGTCTGAACGGAGTGTGCGTAGTTCAGATGCTACGAAGTCACCGAAAATCTAAATTAGAAAACAAATTTTGGAGCTTAAATTACCCAATAATAAACATTATCCGCTACGCTGAATCGTTGCCGTTTGGAGAATTTGTTATATAGGTATTCTTTTTCCTTCTTATTTTCTTCATCTCTTTTTCTTTGCAATAAAGAGTACCTATATAACAAATTCTCCACCTACATACCTAAATTCTACAATAGGTGCACCAAACAAATACAATATAAAAGGTGAGTACCATCAATTTATTAATTATTATTATATTTAATTTTGTTGTATTAGATATAATATAAATAACAATTTGTCTTAATAATCATAGCAACTATTTGAAAGGAAGTAATATAAAACCAATATCTTACCTGACACTCATCAGCATTCGCTCCAGGTCTGAGTCTCGGTTCAGCTTCTTCGGGATGCCACATCAGCGGGTTAGCGAGCAGCGGCGGTGGCGCGGATGCCGCCACGCGCAGCCCTGGCTTACTCCTGCGCACACTAGGGGATACCACGGCTGATGACTGCTGTGCTCTGGCTGCTGCTGCCCCGAATTCCGCCTCCTCATTTGCTTGAAACTCTGCCAACTAGGAAAACATTTGTAAGACAATTTATTGTCACTCGTAAATGAATGGGATACTTTGGTACATACCTCGAGATTAACGCCGTCAACGGAATCGAGTGGGTCGCCTGGAAATGTCAGCGAGTCGCAGGCGGTGGGAGCTCGCAAGAGAAACGAAAGGGCATCGAAATACTCCCACCCGCTGCCGCCCACCCCGCTCGCCTCCCCGTTCCCCGCCGCTGCGTGCCTCCGCTTAATCTTCCTTAATTCGTTGTTCAACTGCGTCCTCAAATTGTGTATTTTTCTACTTATCTCCTCTGAAGTTGTTCCAAATTGATCCGCCAGATAGTCCAACTTAGCTTGTCTTGCACATCGATCTTTGTTCAACGGATTTTTTACGTCCCACAATTCTTTACAATCTTTTTCCAATATCTTAATTAGTTTTATTGTGTTTTCAGAATTCCAATTTATTCTTGTTTCTCGTCTAGGACTATCATTTTCAGAATCAATTTCTAATTTGGGCCAAAGCAAATCCGAAGAATCAGAATTAGAATCCATGACGAATTGCAATCGCGTTATAATTTGTGTAGCGCTCTAGCGAGACTGCCGACTTGCCGAGGGCGCGGGGCAAGCAAGGCCAGAGAGCGTCGAGACCGGTGTCGGCAGCGGAACGGCAACCGCGCTGTCGATAATAGCTGGCGGGCGCGTAACGTTGCCAGATCGTGCAATACCGCGTACTCGAACACGCGGCGCTAACTTCAAGGCGCTAATGAAGCTAAGGAGGTGAACCACATTAGCGGTTATTAGCGCAAGTACTAGCAGTAACAAAGAAACGGAATTGTTGACTTGGCTTGTTTTATAATGAGTTAAACACGGCAAACATGTTTGTAGTCTAAGCCAAGCATCTAGAAATTTACCTTTAATTGGCGTTGTTATATATATATACTCTTGATGTTCCATATTTGAACCTACTAGCCTTTAACAATATTTCATTCAAATTGGCTTGTAATCAAATAAACAACGTACGTATTCGTAGACACATTTACTAAAATCCTACCAATTTAAGTAAATAGGAACTCATTTTACAGATATCGAATTTTTTTAACAAGGAAAACACGAAAAGACACGTCTGAGTTTAATTATAATACATTTTTACCTAAAAAGTAATCTACATTTGGTATGCGTGCGCCGATTATCGTCAATGTAAAAGGGTTTACTATTTAAAGGATACGGTTGTAAAACTCAAAGATCGTTCAAATAGAAGCACATGTTGCTCATAAGTCATCAAAATACTAGCTATGTCATAAAACATGTCCTGTTTATAGGTTACACACACTGAATCAGTTCAGTGTAGATGTTAGATAACATCTACTCACTTCCTTAGTAGGTACGAGTGTACGATGAGTAACATTAATTGTCTTAAAATTTTTAATTGCAAGTGGCATCGTAAATAAATCTTTTACTTTAAAATGTATCCAACTTTATGAGATTAAAAAAAAATTCGGTACGGTTATTGAGCTCGTTTTTTTAAATTTGTTTACAAGTAAATAGTAAGCTTTGATGTGCAAGTAAAAATGACAAGAAACATGATTGACTCTCGGTATCCACAACAAAAAAACAAGGCCGGAATACTAAATATAGGAATCTGCTGTAAAATACATTCCATGTCCATACGCCAAAACAAAACAAGCGCTAACTTTCAATTAAGTAGTGTATAGCTAGGTATTATGTGATAATGCCTTTGTGTCCACCGCTGCAATTATACGATCTTTTCTGTAGAGATGTGCGCAATTTTGATCAGGATTGCTTTCGATCTCCATCCGAATAATTGCTGTTTTATGACGGATAATAAATACGCTTATTTCAATTAAAACGTCGAATACACTCTAACACTTTTCGATATACCTATTACATAACATTTTAGACAAACCAATATTGATTGAAACAGCTGCATGCGTGACTGTTTTCGTACAGGTAAACTAGAATCTCTATTTCATTGAATGTTATGATTTTTTACTACCATGATAGTAATTCATATATTTTTTGGAAGAATATTCCACTAATTTGTTGTTATTAAAGCCCAGCCGGATCGAAGGAATTTTTCTCTGTTGTTGTTTGATCGTTTTATCAATAATAGAATCTCTTATTTATATCCATATGCGTTACGTGATTTTACAGTAGTTAAGTTTCTTACTTGAAGTACTTACTTGCTTACACCTTATTTTTGACTGTACGAAATTTTTTTTGTAATATCAAGTGACGGGACGAACAAGTCGTGCACCGGATGGTAAGCTACACGCCCGTCCATAACAGTTGCAGTGCCACTCAGCACTTTAAATCGCAAAGATCTGAGGAGCACTGCCACTGCGCCTGTCGCCCTGAGACATAAGTTGACAAGTCCCATGTGCCTGTAATTTCAGCAGCACTTTTAACTTGCACTCCAAAAAAATTCTATCGATATGGAAATCGACGTTTCCTCAACACTGCACGGACACGCGCTCATACGAGTCTCTTTCGCGTGCTTGAGCAGTGATTCCTTTGAAACTCGATTCTTATTCAATTCATCGCCATAAAATCTACTTACGGGAAATGAAAACTTGACACGTTCGGTAAAAGCTGATAGCGTTTGGAATTTTATGTTCGAGAGGATTATTTTGAAGCGGAAATGGCAAAAATTTAATAAAGAATCATTTTGAATAATTTTTTTTCAACATTCGTAACTTGAAGTCAAATATGTTTGTGGTGCCGTACACCTACCTTTCCATAGTGTACTTGAATGATTTTGTGGCTTAAGAATTTATTTTCTCAAAATAATTATACATTCACTTAAATGAGAAATTTAAATATAGTAACATTACATAAGCTATAAACATAGTACGTCGTACGACAAGCGCTAAGTAAATGCAACAAAATCTTTGTAATACAAATACGACATTTTTAAGAGGTGGGTAGTTTTGCCTCAACCAACATAATTTAACATACCGGGCAAGAGTGCGTACGCATGTGCGTAGTCTGCACAGACCGCTAATAACTAGATGTGTCAAGAAAAGTACGTCGTAGGTTATGTTTATTATTTGAAATTTATTATTATTATTCATTTTTATTGATTTTATTGTGATGTTAACCATCGTGATATTCATATATTTTTTTTGTGAAATCACTTCACTAATTAATTATAATTAAACAAAGATCGAACACAAAGAAAAACTTGCTCGATGGTTTGCGTCGTCTTAATTCGTATTTATGTGACGTAATTATATAGGTAAGAGAGAGTGGACTATGATACTCACATTAACCCACTATCTCTATAGATATAAGTATTATCATTGGATTGTCCTTTACCTCATAAGGCCCCGTGTACCCCAAAATGTACATAATACGTGATCCTCCGATCACGTGAACACCCATCAAAATGTCACATTAAAATTTAGCGCTATATTATAACTATTTCACCGTAGGGTATCTACAAAGTTTTTTAAAAAAGTCACGGTTGCGTATTTCATGCCAAACTTGCATGCTTGAAAGCATGCTTGCTTGGGCTTGAAGCATACCTATTTAGTACAGTTTAAGCACTTAGGCGTTTAGCGCTTTTCCCACTGTAGTTTACTTGTTTTGGGCGTAAAAAATACAAAAACAAGTGAAAACTGCGGTCGTGGATTAGACTTATTCACAGGCATTCAAAAACTTGTTTAGCGGCATATGACAAATGTTTGAACAAAAATGGAAATTACATATGTACTGACTTTATTTAAAAATACCCTATTTACACAAATATGTATAAGTACATGTATTGACGAGTTTGAAATTCATAATATAAGTAGGTACGTGGGTTGGTACGTAGTATCCCAAAACGTATGAAATACTTAGTAACAAAGTTTGACATGTGAACCCTAAAACTAAGCTCGAAAGATACAACAAAAAATACAAAAGCAAATCGTCGCCTTACTCTCTCAAACTCGTATCTTAAAGCACAAAGTTACTGAAATAAAAGTTGCTAAAAATGGGTCGTATATACGAATTCCGCAAGTAGATTTCACATCACATTTGCTTCATGTTCACACTCTGGCTTTTATCTATTCATAAAGTAACGCATCCAAATTAACAGCCTTGATAAGAAATTTAAAATAAATAGAAAGTTTTGCCATCTCCTAATCACTCTTTATAAGATACGAGTTTAAGAAAGTAAGGCATCGAAATGTATAGTAACACAAATAATGCAAAGAATATAAAGAAACTGAAACACCATATCAAAATCTCCATATGTTAGAGGATTGGTTTGAGGGCAAAAACAAATTTAAGAATGGTTGTAAATTCCACTATAACGCAATAAAATTCACTTTTGCGTAACAAAAATTCCCTACCTCGCTACTGTCTTGAGAAATGGGTTTTGTCACGATTCTATATTGGATAGAACACGACAAAATTTATTGCCTATGCCGGTGATAGATCAGTGGGTAGATCTGGGAACTATCAACGCTTTTGCGAAAGCAGAAAATTTAGGCTCTTAAGTCCCTTTGAGTATTCTAAGCAATTTCATTTGCCGATCACATAAATAGAACATGTTATTTGTTTTTATTGAACTCTCCTTCTTACTGTATCGATGGCATTTACTACAACGCTTGCCATCGTGGTTAAAGGATTTGCGAAACAGCTTAAAATACTCGCCAGTTGTTTTTGTTACTAATAAACAAAATTTATTAGTAAATAAACATGGCTGCTTACAAAAATAACAGAAAACGACCAAAAAATAAAGTTGGAGTTGGGGGGTATCGTTTTGACGTAAACGTTTAAAAGTAACTTTTGCAGTAAGTTCCTTGTGAAACAATTCGTCCAAAGAAGTACTTTCTGTCACCTTACTTGTTTCTGCCGCTAAACAATACTCGTACTGTGAGCGTTACTGCGTTACGGGTTTAAAGGGTTAAGAGTCCTAGTGAAACTAGAAGCACACCAGATTTGGCAACCATGACTGTTATCGCCAGACGCGCTTTATTTAATTCGTTTCTTTATTATTACATTTACTGTATTTGTAAATAACATAGGTAATAATTGTGTGAGGTTTATGTGAAATAAAGCCCATTTTTTACCGACTTGAAAAAAAGGAGAAGGTTTTTCTCATGTTACGGGATAAATAATAAATAAATTTGTGAACCGATTTTGATGATTCTTTTTTTTTCTTGGAAAGAGGGTGCTTCGGTATTGGTCCCATTTGAATTTGAAGAAAATAGTCCACATTTAAGGGTGGTGAGCTAGGGGATGAATCCGGTTTCGCGCACTTTCCGTTAACCAATTTCAATAAAACTTGGCAAATAGATGTAATTCCACGAACTTATGAAGCCGGTTTTTTATAAAAAAGTTATTTTTCTTATGAATATATTAGATTTCCCATAAAAATAAAGAAGCGCTTTAACAATTTCGTTTCTTAGTGTACGAGTATTTTGTGTTATTTTGCCAATTCTACATTAAATTTGAAGAGGTTTTAGGTCAAAGATCAATGAGCTCATACCGCGTACGTAGGTGTCACGGCACACGCGGACCAGGGTGTCAGATGGGCTGTAGACCAGTAATATAAGATTAGATAAATAAAAGAATTAGATGAAGTTTTAGCCAAATTAAATAATATAAATAAATATAT